CGTGGAACAAGACGATGTCGGAATGCAGCCCGTTCACAGTGATAGCAGACTTTCGTAGCATCTAACGCACTCACACCCTCACCCCCTGCTTTCACCTAACTTGCCCTTGTGGCAAGATATAAACCGGGAAGACCACAAACGCAAGGTTAACTAGTCCGTCTACGCGTGTCACATAACTCACCGAGACTTTTGATGCGTTTGATACGGCATTTGGACGGTGAAAAACAACGACCTCGTGTCACAGTGTCGATTACTTTTGCGTTTGCGGTGATATAATACTTGCGACGCATCTAACTCACCCTCACTCTCATGCCTTCACCGGCCTTGCTCTTGTGGTAAGACAAAAGCATGACGACCGCAGGTGATCGCGGGTGCAATGGCCAACAAGACTAAACAGTCCAGGCAGATGGCATTGTCTGATAAAGACAAGGAAGACTAGAATGGCCATTCTTGGCTCGTTAGCAGTAGTCAGCCGTCGTCATACCCAACCCCCAAGTGGTGCACCTTTCGAGGCTTGAACTCGCGCCCTTTTGGTCAGAAGTCCAACGCTCTAACCATTGAGTCACAAGCTCATTTTCCCGCCAGTTCAAATCGAGAAATATTGACACTCGTTGATGAAAACTCACCAACCGCTAACGGAACTCAGAAGGCCACGAGTTCGTGCCTCGCATGGTGCACCATTTGAGGCTCGGCCATTCCAGTATCCCTTGTCTCTGTCGGCAAATCTATCTGCTTAGACTACTAGCTCCAAAGCAGAAGGGGACGAGTGAGTTTCGTTACCTATCGGTGAACCTTCATCAACGTTTGCAAACTAGCATATCTACGCGTGCCACAAAATTGCTAAACAGACGAGCATACTGACCGAGGCGTTTGATGCGTATAAACATGCTCTCATCCATGCGAGCCCTCTGCATACGCATGTAGTTTGACTCCTTGGTCTGCAGCATCTTGCGCATCTGGGCACGGGAGGCCTCGCTAAGGCCCATGAGGGCCATCTCAGCCTCCAGCCGTGCCTGCCTCTCCTCGCG